AAAGAGGGACCGCCCAACAATATTAATATCAAACATGGTTAAAAAGCATTAAAGGGAACCCAGATGGACATTTTATCAGATTGATAAAAATCACCCATTAGGAAGGGTGCTTCTAAAAACACAGATTCAAAAATAAATTTACACACCCATATACGCACACACACACACTACACATATACAACTGATAGAATGGAAAGTAGACAAATCTATATTTATAAAGAGAGATATTAACACATCCCTTTCAGAAACATTTATTATGAAAATGCTTTAATTTTATGCTAATGGAGTAGAAAGTCTAGATGTCAAGTGTGATTCCCTAGAAAGAAATTACTCAAATTGACTGAATAATTAGAAAACATCAATAGAGGATTAACTTTGGAAGAACTGAAAAGGTAGTAGACAATTGATTCTTTATCCCTTCACATTGCCATCTCTTTCCTTGGGCAGTTTTGTCTAGCCCCTGGGAAACCACTAGCTCAAAATGATTTTCCACGTGAAGTGTTATTATTCTTGCCAAAGTGGATAATGTATGTAAACTACTGTATTTGTGAATAAAGGGTTAGCAAAAGAGCCTTGAAAATGACCTCGTAGTCCAACTTCTGACAGTATTGTTTTTTAGAAACTGTACAGTAAAGGTAAACACGGAATGTTTTGACTACCTTGTGTTCTGTGAAACCCAAGATCCATGGGCTTATACCTTCAAGAGGCAACAGAGAGTTGGCTGCAGGTTTTGGTTGGAAACTGAGGCTGTGGCTTTTCTGTGTGAAGGGGACCCACACAGTACCTTGGTGCCCATCTTCAAGCCATACACAACCAGCACGGGTGAGGGAAGCAAAGGAAACTATGTACTATGGCAACTGCTGAGCCTCCTGCTGAGAAGATGCTGGTCATGCTGTTTTCTACCCTGTATTCTCTTATAAAGCTAAATAAACACAGAATTGGATTAAAGTCTGTTGCATTGTGTGACTCTATATCCATAGCCATCCCGGCTGGAGCACCAGGTCATAAAAAAACATATGTAATTACCAATTTATTTC